GAAAACATCATGCTGAGTGAAATAGGCCTGTCCCAAAGGGACAAATATTGTATGCTCTCCCTGATCAGTGACAACTAACCGAGCACCAAAAAGGAAACCTGTTGAAGTGAAATGGACACTATGAGAAAGAGTGACTTGATCAGCCCTTATCCTGGCTGTCGATGAACAACTTAATATTTTATCCCTTTTAGTATTTTTTGTTCTACTGAATACTATTGGTTGAACTCTGTAATTAACACACAATTATTCTTAGATGTTTAAAGTTAACTGAAAAGTGATCGCTGTTAAATATAAGAGAGGGAATAAGAGAGGGAGGAGATGTACAATTCGGGACATGCTCAATTGGACTTGCCCAAAACGGTAGAGTTAGAAACATGCCAGGGGATTCCAATTCAATCCCATCAAGTCTGCATATACCAATGCCATCTCACTAGTCCAAGTGATCAGTTTTAGTTCACAATTGATAATAATAAAAGGATTAAGAGTCAAGACTAGTGCCTGCTAATACTATCTGAAAGAATTAAAAAGGAGAGAACAATCCAACATGGGAAGTGGGATACACAGCTGACTCATAAAATGGCAGATATCCTCAACAGCACTCTGGCCTCAGAATCAGCCCTTAAGGCAGTTGGAACTGGATGAAGAGCCCATGAGAGTATTTCAGGCATGGAAAGCCAAGACACTCTGGCAAAAACAAACAAACAAACACCTAAATGAAATATCTCTGCGAGTGAGATTCCAGTGGAAAGAACAGGCCATAAAGAAGGAGGTACCTTTCTCTGAAGGGAGGAGATAACTTCTGCTTTGACTATGACCTTGTCTAAATAAGATCAGAGTTGGTGAGCTCAAAAGGCTTCCATAGCCTTGGCAACCCAGGACAAGAGCCTAGGGTGATTAGTGCCACCATAAACAAGAGTGTCAATTGTTAAGTCAACAACAGGAGTCATTGTGCACTTACTCCCCATGTAGGATCTCTGTCCTTAATGTGTTGTACTATGTAAATTAATGCTACAACTAGTACTCAAAAAGTACTTTACACTTTTGTTTCTGTTTGGGTGCAAACTATTGAAATCTTTACTTAATATATACTAAATTTATCTTCTGTATATAAAAATAATTGAAAATGAATCTTGATGTGAATGGGATGGGAGAGGGAGCAGGAGATGGGAGGGTTTCAGGTAGGAGAGAAGTTATGGCGGGAAAAAGCCACTGTACTCCATAAGCTCTACTTTGAAAATTTATATTTATTAAATAAAAGTTAGAAAAAAGATTGTATTGGGCCTTGTAGTCCATCTGAATGGTCCCCTATTTGAATGAAACAAGATGTTTTCAAAGGATTTAGAGAAAAGAAGTGAAGGATGTGAAATTTTTTAGATAATATTTCAATGTTTTATGCATTGTTACTAGACAGAAGGTTGCATTGGCAGAATTTAGAAAATCCACAGTGGGAATTTGTCATAATTATTCAGGTAAGAAATGTCCTGACTGAATGTTATAGCATCGGAAGTGGAGAGAGGGGATCAAGTTATGCATCTATTTTGAACGTCTCGGTAACAGAGTTTTCAAAAAACTTTATAGTGTTTTTAAAAAGAAAAGAGATGATAAGGGACCAAAATATCTGATTTGCACCATTGGAAGCACAGAGTTGCTTTTAGCTGAGATGCAGAAGGATGCTGAAAGAAATCAGACACTCATTTTGACCTTATTGAGTGTGCATTGCCTGTAGTGGAGCTATCCAATGTGCAGTAGGATTAAGGGGAATTGTCCAAGCCAGAGAAATAAACTTAGAGGTCATTGATATTTAAAAGGATTCAAAAGGTATGAGAGTAAATAAAAACCTTGAAAATGGAGTTATCAGATCAGACCTATTGTCATGTTTAATCCCAGTGAGAGTCAAGTTGGGAGTTGATAGTTTCTTTTCTTTTCTTTTCTTTTTTTTTTTTTTTTTTTTACAGAGGATCAGTTTAGTATGCATTAAGTAAAGATTTCAACAGTTTGCACCCCCATAGAAACACAAAGTGAAATATATTATTTGAGTACTCGTTATAGCATTAAATCTCAATGCACAGCACATTAAGGACAGAGATCCTACATGAGGAGTAAGTGCACAGTGACTCCTGTTGTTGACTTTACCAATTGACACTCCTGTCTATGGCATCAGTAATCTCCCTATGCTCCAGTCATGAGTTTCCAAGGCTATGGAAGCCCCTTGAGTTCTCCGACTCTTATCTTGTTTAGACAAGGTCATAGTCAAAGTGGAGGTTCTCTCCTCCCTTCAGAGAAAGGTACCTCCTTCTTTGAAGACCTGTTCTTTCCACTGAGATCTCACTCACAGAGATCTTTTGCCAGAGTGTCTTGGCTTTCCATGCCTGAAATACTCTCATGGGCTTTTCAGCCAGATCTGATTTCATCATCATTAAAAAAAATCATCTATTATTTTTCACTTTATGTTTCTATGTGGGAGCAAACTGTTGAAATCCTTACTTAATGTATACTAAGCTGATCTTCTGTATATTAAGATAATCGAAAATGAATCTTGATGTGAATGGAAGGGGAGAGGGAGTGGGAAAGGGGAGGGTGGTGGGTGGGAGGGACGGTATGGGGGGAAGCCATAGTAATCCATTATTCGTACTTTGGAAACGTATATTCATTAAATAAAAGTTAAAAAAAAATTAAATAAAAAAAAATAAATAAATAAAAAAAAAAGAAAATGGAGTTAAAGTTAGAAATTATTTTATTACTATCCAGTTTTTTAAAGAACTGTTTTCAGTTTTTTGCAGATATAGAAATGGCAAGACTGTTGGACATAAATATTTGCTGACGTTTGTTTGCTTAGTTCAATCTCCTCATACACATTTGCTTGATCAAAGACACTTGTAAAGAGATTGAAATAAACATGCTTATTGATGTAAAAAATACTTCATGTCCAACGAATACAGGGACAAATATATGTTAATGATTTTAAAAGTACCGTTTTAAAGTTTCATTTTATTTAGGGTTTACTAATTCATGTATTTCATATATACAGATTTAGGAACATAGTGAGACTTCCCACTCTACCCTCCCTCTAGCCCATGATTGCAACCTTCCTCCTCCTTCCTCTCCTATTCATTCTCTTAATTAAAAAAAAAAAACAGATTTAAAGCAGGTTAGCAAAGGCTTGCTTAAGTTACAGAAACCAATAGGCATTAGGATCAGTATTCTTTTTAGGAGCTTGACTTATTTATTTGAAAGTCAGAGTTATGGGGCTGGCGCTGTGGTATATTGGACTAAGCCTCAGCCTGCAGTGCCAGAATTCCATGTGGGCACTGGTTAGTGTCCCTGCTGCTTCCCTTCCTATCCAGCTGTGTTCTATGGCCTGGAAAAGCAGTAGAAGATGGCCCAAGTGATTGGGCTTCTGTGCCCATGTGGGAGACCAAGAAGAATCTCCTGGCTCTGGGCTTCAGATCAGCTCATCTTTGGCCATTGTTGCTAACTGGGGAGTGAACCAGTGGATGGAAGACCATTCTCTTTGTGTCTCTGTCGCTCTCTGTGTGTGTTTCTCCCTCTCTCACTGTAACTCTTCCTCTCAAATGAATAATCTCAAAGAAGAAAGAGTTAAAAGAGAGAAGGATAAGCAGAGAGAGATCTTCCATCTGCTGGCTTATTCTCCAGATGTCCACAATGTCCAGGGCTGTGCCAGGACAAAGCAAGGAGCAAGAACTTTGTCCAGGTCTTCTACATGGGTGGCACTTGGTCTATCTTCTGTTGCGTTGACCAGGCCAGTAGCAGGCCAGTAGCAGGGAGCTGGATCAAAAGTAGAGCAGCCAGGACTCAAATCAGTGACCATGTGTGAGGCTGCCATCACAGGCAGTGGTTTTACCTACTATGTCACAATGCTTGTCCCTCAATACTTGATTTTAACCATTTTTAATTGGCTCAGTTTAGTGTAAAAGTATGAATTCTTGCATATATAGAACTTCTTCTCATTTTTCTGGGCATTCAGGGAGTGAACCAGCAAGTGGAAGACCTCCGTCTCTGTCTCTCCCTCTATCTGTAACTCTGCCTCTCAAATAAATAATCTTCTTTAAAAAAGATTTTAACTCTTTAGGCCCTTATACAAGTACAGTAGAAGTTTGGCTCCACTATATAACATTGCTTTAGATATTCAGGGTCTCTTGTGTTTCCATATGAATTTTAGCATCATTCTTTTCAAGCTTTGCAAAGAATGTCATAGATGAGAGGAAGAAGAAATATTGAAGTGTGGGTGAGAGGGAATGTAGAGTGGCAAGTATCAATATGTTCCTAAATCTATATTTATGAAATATATGAAATTTTTATAACTTTATAAAATTGAAAAAATATATTTGGCTCCACACCTGTTAATGGATTTTTTTCTTTTTTTTTCTTTTTTTTTTTTGACAGGCAGAGTAAGACAGTGAGAGAGAGAGAGATAGACAGAAAGGTCTTCCTTCCGTTGGTTCATTCCCCAAATGGCCGCTACAGCCAGCGTGCTGCGCTGATCCAAAGCCAGGAGCCAGGTGCTTCCTCCTGGTCTGCCATGCAGGTGCAGGACCCAAGCACTTGGGCCATCCTCCACTGCCTTCCCGGGCCACAGCAGAGAGCTGGACTGGAAAAGGAGCAACCAGGACAGAATCCGGCGCCCTGACCAGGACTAGAACCCGGGGTGCCGGCGCCGCAGGTGGAGGAGCGGATTTTTAAGTTATACTATGGGAAATGATCTGAAGTAACAACACGTATTTACAGGAAGTGGAGCTAGAGGCTGGGTGAAATAGCTGGCTTCACCAGGAAGCCAGTTCTCTCCATCTGCTAGCTTATAACCCGTCTAGGTAATAATGAAAAAAAAAATCATCAGGGCTTTTTTTTCTTTAGACTTTGGGGCCAAAGGAATCCCAGGTTTTGAGAATTCACCCTAAAGTGTTGTCAGCACAGATGGCTTGCTTCACATCTGTAATAGATAATTTTAGTAAAGAAATATCTATGTTTTCGTCTCTCCTTAGTTTGATGTTCTTCCAAAACACAAACCTCAGAACAGTGAATGTTCCCTACAGTGATCATCAGAAGGGTAAGAAATCACACTGTTTCTGTCTTTGCTTTTTGGAAACCCTTACTCTTCTTCATAGTAAGTTTTCTTTAAAATCACCAGGTCTCTGACAGCCAATTAAAATCAATTAGCATGGCTCTCACCAGGGGAATTTTCTATCCTTATACCATGTTTTTTTACATTCTCTTCTGCTTATACAGTGTCAGAACAGTAAAGATCAGACCCCTTCCAAACTTTGGCCTGAGAATATTGGTTGAGACTTTGTCAAAGCTCACTTCTGAATCCACATATATAAGACTGAGCTCAAAGCAAAGGGAGATGAGTCCGCTGTTTATAATCACATGAGGCAGAGATGTTGATGCAAGTAGGGTGCCTAATGTGGTTCTCAGCCCCTAATACATGCTATTAAGAATCCCCCAAATCACAGGTGAGAAAGGGTTAAGTGTGGGTATATGTACCTAGTCCCATCAGTTGCTCCCTTCCTCAATGTCAACTTCAGGATGCATCTAATCTCATAGATTGGGAATTTGAGAGGCATCTCCAACTAAGGAGAGAGAAAAATCTCAAGAACAGGAAGACTTACAGGGCAGAGAGCTACTCATCAGTGGTTCCCATAGTCCCACTGGGGAGCAGCACTTTGAGCCCTGCCACAGACCAGAAGGCTAAAGGCTGATCTTCTGCCCTCAGGATCTGGGAGCGCCTAGCAAGGGGCATCCATCTCCCTTGGAAAGCCAGCAGACCTCCAGAGGCAGTGCCTGGGGATGGCACAAATTTACCCCAGGGGAGTAGAATCTCTCCAGAAACTTGCAGAGGGTGAAGTACCATATTCTTTCTGTAGGTTGGAAGAAAAACTTGCCAGAGTACAACTTCTGATGGGCATTGCTATGTTGCTGGAAGCTGACCTTCTTAGGACTTTGCACTGTACAGCTATGGGCAGCCTGTGTTGAGGGTATATTTCCAGGAAGCCATTGTCTTGTGATTGCTAAAATAATTTTCTGTCTCATTATATAGATTTACAAACACTTAATGTCCAAATAAGTTAAAATTCCAATTAATTTCCTGCGTTATTGGATGCTTTGGGCCTGACCACTAGGGTCTAAGATTGGGTCCTCATTCCCATTTCAAGGTTATTAGGTTAGAAACAGGAAGAAAGGGACCTCATCCTGGCATGATCTCTAGAGTCTCTCTTAGGTCAAATTCTTGCATTTTTATCAGCAGTAAGCACCAGAGTTTAAGATATGGCTGAAAAGAAGAGAGTGTTCTCAGTTAAGAGCAGCTGCCATAACACTCTAAATAAAAGCTGATAGACCAATTTGGGATGTTTTTAGTGACTTTATTCGCAAGCTATTTTTCCAGGCTCTTATTTTTTCTAAAGTAAAATAAAGAAACTCAATTGTTTTCTGTTTTATAGTAGAAAAGTCTGTAAATTTAGACCCTGTGGAGTAGTTGGTTGATGTGTGTTCAGGGGGGTTTGCTTTTCCTATAGTGGGCCACATAACTGGTTGCTCTAGGAAGAAACAGAAAGACAAAATGGGGGCCTTTTGCAAGAAGCTTCACTTGTATTTGCAAGATGAATAAAATTCCAATGGGGCTGGTATGAAGAGATTCCCAGTGACCAAAGCTTGGAAAGATTGAGCATGAGAACACACCATCATCTCATGTATTTCTGTTCAGAGGCCTTTGGCCAACTGTAATATCATTATTACAATAATGATATTACAATAATGATATTACAGTCGGCCAAAGGCCTCTGAACAGAAATACATGAGATGATGGTGATAGTAACAATGCTGTCAAAATATCATTGATCACTTTGAAGTTACTGAATGTCAACACAACTAATTTGAAAATTTATAAGGGATGAGGTTTTATAAAAAAGAGATAATAAACCTAACCTACACCAGGTGGTCTGTTAAGGAAACAAAAGGAGGGATTCTGGGAAATTCTTTCAGCTTTCTGTGTGTGGGTGTGAAGCTCTGGTTGTCCATTTCTATTCCAAGTTGGTCAGCTCCCCATGAACATAAGGCAGCCCTTGTACTACAAGATAGTAAGCATGGGCAGAAGCCTGCTTGCACAGAGTGGACTCAGTTCCTCTACTCATGTGTGACTTGGGACTATTGCCACCCCCTCTGGTATCCACTTCATCCATTAGAAAATTAGGATGATAATAACCAATACTTACTGATAGGTGGTGTAACTGGGTGAAAACTTTAGAGGTACCTAACAGGCAGATTCCCCTGTGTAGATAATCCCCCTTCAGCTGATCTTCTGGTGCAATCTTGAGAGCTTAGTATGTTTCCCTAGGATCTTCAGCTTTTCTCTGTTGAACTCCTATTTTAACGCCACTTAGCACCGCAGAGGAGGTATCTCATCTGTAGTCTGTACTTCCCATTGATATCACTGGGAAGCCCACAGCCCAGAGAGAAGCACCACGAGGTGGAGGTGGGGGTATAATTCTTGTGTTCTTTCTCTCCCCAGCAGCAAATTCTCATATCTGACAGACTGACATTGCTTGTGGCCATCAGCCCTCTTCTGCTACCACCCTGGACCATCTATCTTGACTACAATGATTAGACAGTTTAAAAAATCATATGTGGTTTGCAGCATTAATCACTCATTCTAGAATTATAGAATGAAGTAGAAGGAATTGTTGATCCACATGTGAAATGGAATAGTTTTTAAAAAATCTAAACGCAGATTACTTTTTATTTGGACCAGGTTAAGTGTTTTTAGCCATGTTAGCAGAGTAATAAACAGGGGAAACATTCATGTCTGGAAGTTTGAATCCCAGCTCAGTCACTATCTGACTGCTTCTTAGGAGATGTTATCTGACTCTCTGTTAGCATTGTGGAAAATAATACATCTTATGAATTATCAAGAAATGTATGTAAAATTTGGGATCCCTAAAAATGACATGTGTCCTTTACTGATTCTTTTTTAAGACTGATGGATTTGAAAGGCAGATTGATATTTACAGAAAATGCTATCAGATGTAAAGGGAGAGACAGAACTCAATACAATGATAATAGTCACCTCAACACCACACTCTTCATCAATGGACAGGTAATCCAGATAGAAAATCAATACAGATACATCAGATTTGAAACATACTGTCAAGCAAATGGACCTAACCTTTATGATATTTCACCCAACAGATACAGCACACACATTCTTCTCATCAGCACATGGAACATTTTCTAGTGTAAACCACTTATTAGGGGGCCAGCGCTGTGGCCCAGCAGGTAAAACCACTGCCTGGCATTACATATGGTTTCTGGTTCAAGTCCTGGCTGCTCTAGTTCTGATCCAGCTCTCTGCTATGGCCTGGGAAAGCAGTAGAAGATGGCCCAAGTCCTTGTGCTCCTGCACCCATGTGTGAGACCTGCTCTGTTATCTCTGAATGGTCGTGAGTAGCCAATGAGATTCTGAGTACTGGAGGAAGGAGGCCCTCAGGAGGTGGAATGTAAGTATAGGGGGTCATCTGGGGAATACAAGGATCCCAAACCCTTATGCCCACAGAGACCAAACAGGAGAAGGAATGATCCAGGAATTCCATCTATTCCCTCTGATCCAGGTAGAATAGCTACTGAATAGGAGTGAGAACCTTATGTTAAATAAGATTCCACAATTAGAAATTATTAATGTGAGATATCCTGAAATTTAATTGGTGGCAAATAATTAAACATTATAATGATATATATGCAAACACACACACACACACACACACACATACACACACACATTGGACATAGCAATGACTGCTCAAATTTAGTGCACAGAGTGCCAGTTTTCTACTCAAATAAAAGCCTACAGTCCTGAATGGGAAAAGAAGGACAGTGCTAGCAATCCTGGGAAGTGACCAGACTAAAGCATCAGCCATGCTAGCATCTCTGTGCTGCACACCTACCCAATCCCCTTAGCCAGGCAGCAGGAGGATATGCAGAGCATGGTCATACTTAGCAATAAGTACTGCCAGAACAGACATCTGCAAGGTTGGAGCTGCAGTTCTGCATCCTGGGGACCTTGGAGGATGGTGCTAGAAGAACTTTGCTTTTGATATTTGCAGTAACAAGAGATGTACAAAGCCCGGTTGGGGAGAGGCAAATAGCTGACACCAGGAGGAAGCTCAGAAGGCCAATTTGAGAACACCCCAGAAACTTTGTGTGTGCTTGGGGATCCCATAGCTACCAGAAGAATTGAATACAGAGTCAGAGGACTACTGCCTTGTGACTATTCCACCCATAAACTGAAGGTGTGGGGAACACCGGTGCCATGCATCTTCAACCTACCTGTTGAAAACCCACATAGGACCCAGGGCCTGCACCGTGGCACACTAGGTTAATCCTCTGTCTGCAGTGCCGGCATCCCATATGGGCACCGGGTTCTAGTCTCGGTTGCTCCTCTTCCCGTCCAGCTCTCTGCTGTGGCCTGGGAAGGCAGTGGAGGATGGCCCAAGTGCTTGGGCCCCTGCACCCGCATGGGAGACCAGGAAGAGGCACCTGGCTCCTGACTTTGGATCGGTGCAGTGCCAGCCATAGCAGACATTTTGGGGAGTGAACCAATGGAAGGGAGAACTTTCTCTCTGTCTTTCACTGTCTGTAACTCTACCTGTCAAATAAAAAAAAAAAAACACTTTAAAAAAAACTCACACAGGACTCATGCCTTCTAGCAGGACTGGTTTGTTTGCTTGCAGAACACAATATTCCAGGAGCTGTTCGGTTCCTTGTCCAAGTGAGAAAGACACTCAGTGTTGCTCTGGTTTTGGCCCTGCACATTAACTAGAAATCACCTACACTCTGGGGGCCCTCATTATCTTTCCCATATGGCTTCTGCTTTCTGTCCACTGATAAGGGTAGTGGTTCTATAAGTTTCATGGTGGTCACCAGGAATGCTGACCATGTTTTCTGTCTTGCTCATTACAAATGCATGGTTGGATTACTCTTCCTAATCTCTGTACATTAGGGTAGGACTGTGAATCCTGTGCTGGCCAATGAGATATAAATGAAAATTATATGTGATAACAGACAAAATAAAAACAAAACATGCTATAACTTATGGGATGTCACACAAATTGTACTGAATGGGTAGCCTATGGCAATGAACACCTACATAAAAAGGAAACATCTCAAACAGACAATGGACATTACAAATAAAGGATACAGAAGAAAGAACAAATGATTAACAAATGTAGCAAAGAGTTAACAACAAGGATTAGAGAAGGATAAATAAGAAAAACAATAGAACAGATTAACAATACTAAATGCTGCTTTAAAAATAGTAAAGGCAGAGATCTAGAGAAAGAAAAGAACAGATACAGTGAGATCTTCCAATGATAAAATTATTTCCTAAATGCTCTTAAACATCAGGGCTGAGCAAGGCCAAAACCAGGAGTCAGGAACTCATCTAGGCCCTCCACGTGAGTGGTAGGGACCCAAGTAGTTGATTCATCACCTGATGCCTCCTAGGGTGCAGCTGGAAGCAGAAATACAGCAAACTTCCTGAACTCCAATGTGTGATGAAAGCATCTCAAATGGCATCTCAATTGCTCAAGTAAATCTTGCTCCAAAGATTTTATTTCAAAAAAAGATACGGAGAATTAATGAACCCTTAATCTAGACTAAGAAAGAAAACAGAGTGAATATTCAAAAAGAAAATAATAAGTGATTCAGGAGACATTACAACTGATGCCACAGGAATACAAAAATCTTAAGACCAAGAATGAGTTTACACTGACAAATTTGATTATCTAGAAAAATGGATGAATCCCTAGAAACATGCAAGCTAACAAAACAGAATCAGGAAGAAACAGAAAATATGAACAGAATATTCATCAGTGAAGAGATTGAACAAGTAATAAAATATTGTTAAATAAATTCAGAACTTGCACACTTATCTACAAGATTGTACCAAATACTTTAATAATTATAATTCCAATATTCTTCCAAGTTCATTTCATGAGACATTTTGTGAGACATTTTCCTGACACAAAAGCCAGCACTAGGGTTGGTGCTGTGGTGTAGCAAGTTAAACTATCACTGGTGGTGCTGGCATCATAAGTGAGGAAAACCAAAGGCCAGCATTCCCAACATAGTTGGGACAATTTTTTTGACAAAGTAAATGCAGTTTTGACAAAGTAAAAGCAACAAAAATCAACAGCACAGTAAAAATAAAAGATGCTCAAGTCAGATTCCTTGAAATGCAAGATTATTTCATCAAATGTAAATCAATTAATTGATAAACACTAATATAATAAACATGAAGTATGGTCATCACAATAAATGCACAAAATACATTTGACAATTTTCATGATAAGACCTTAAAGAAAACAACTACAGAAAGAATGATACAGGTCCCGCCAGCTCCACCTCCTCTTTCTCTGGACAACTGTTCCCATATACGCACCATTTCCTGGATTATAAAGTATCTGGCTTTCTGTTCACAGAGTGACTGACACGGAGCCACCTCAGACCACTCCCCCATAACAAACCTGGATACTTCATGAATAAATCTTGTACAAAATCTTAAAATGCTAGAATTTAGTTAAAAAACAACAGCTATCAGGACAGGAAATAAAACAGTGACTTCCTTAATCCGATTAAGATTGAAAGGAACTGACAGCAAACAACAGAACTATTGAAGGTTCACTGAAACCTCTTTCCTTGGAATAAACCCAGACAAGGGTGCCTCCACTCTCTCCAACTTCCTACTGGAGGAGTCAGGAAAATAAAACAGCAGAAAGAAAACTGAAGGTGTAAAGATCAACATTCAAGCAATAAAACTTTCAATAAATGTAGATTACATCTAAATAGAGATAATCCATGATTTAAAACAGATAAAAGTGATAAATGAATTTAGCAAGATGATTGCTTACAAGATCAACATGTAAAATAAACTGGGGATAGAAAATAATAGTAAAAAACAATAAGCAGACAAGTAAGCAAATATGTACAAGAGAAATGTGAGCAAATATTGATTTAATATTACAAAAGAATACCATGAATGACCCAACAGAAAAATGAGTAAAACTGTGGAGAAAAAGAAAATCCCAGAAGCCAATAAATCTCAAATAAAATGTAACTCACCGGCAGCAGGTTACTGCATGCTCCAGGAAGCATCCCCACAGGATCCCAGATAAGGAAGACTGGAGAGGTCTCTTGCAGGTAGCATGATCAGGACCTGACAGTGCCTCCAGCTGCGTGAAGGGCAGCACCCTGGAGACCTGAATCCAGGCCTTGCCCCTCACTCTTCCCACTTGGTGCCACCTCAAGTGAGGCCTCTACACTAGGCTGGATATGATTGGCTGAGCTCACTGCTGGGCAAACTGTCCAATCAGGGACTGTGACATCAACAATACATGATCTTATGGGATCTTGTCGTCATAGTCACGTCTGAGTTATGCAGCAGACAGAGCTCCTGGGAGCTGCTCCTCTGCAGGGGGACTCATGAAACATCCACCTCCACTTCTGCCTGACCTGTCACTGGAGGACCCCAGACACCTTGAAGCCGGAAATGGTCAGTGTGTGGGCAGGACGTCCAAGAGTGGGAAGGGGGAGCTGATGGAACCCGTGGGAAAAGACTGTGACAGGACGCTGGGCCTCCAGGAGGCCATCTCTGGAATCCGTGGTTGCCATCTCACTGCTGGCACAGCACATCCCTGTGTCTCCTGTGGCCCTGACCTGGGGAGTGGCCTGGCACCCAGGATCCCAGGTGCCCTGTCCCTTCCCTGCACAAGGTAACTGCTGCTCAGCACTAGAGCCATTGGTGGGCAGCTGTGTGCCGGGCGTTCCACATTTCTCTGGTTGTGCGGTGAGCTTGGGAGGATGACCGGGGAGAACCTGGACTGCATGCATGGGGTTTTTGCGGGGAGAAGCCATTGTTTGTGGGACCTTAGGGCTTCTTTTTTCTCCATCAGTGACCTGATCGACCAGAGTTTGCTAAATACATAGGAAGCGGGACTTCAGTTCCAGGACACTTTCCTTTCTGTGTCTGGTGCTGTTTTGGGTTGCTAATAATGAAGTGCCACAGACTGGGTGAACTGAAAGCAAACCAGTTTTATTTGGCACAGGGTTTTTGTCATGCTTGAGGGATAGCATCTAGTGATGACCTTTGTGCTAGCAGAGACACAGTCTGCTGCTTATGGGGATTCAGTGAACTAAACCTTAGTTCCTGCAGGTCAGTGGAAAATGCTGGTGCCATCCCAGGGTCATCCCTGTTTTCATCTTATTACATGGTCTTGGTGGAAGTTATCACTGATGTTCCGTCTCACTCTTCTCACTTGTGTTTGTTCTAATCTCGAAGGTTAATTGACCCATGTGAAGATGTACTATTTATTCTCATAGATCTCTCATAGATCTTCCCTTCCTAGACACCCGTGCCCCTGTGCAGTGTTTCAGGGTGCTCCTGGATTTCCTTCCATCTTTAGTTAGAACCCATCTGGAGCTCATGATTCTCTTCTTGGCTACCATGTTTCTGAAACTTGGCTCTCAAATCCATACTATTCACTGCTACACAAGAGAATAAAACAAGGCAAAAGAAAAAGATACTCTTTTTGCCTTTTTTATTTTTTAATTTTCAAATTTTAAAAAAATTTTTATTTATTTATTCAGAAAATTTTTATTTAATAAGTATAAATTTCAAAAGTACAACTTTTGGGTTATAGTGATTTCCCCCCTCATAACAACCCTCTCACCTGCAAGCCAACCCATCTCCTACTCCCTCTCCCATTCCATTCACATCAAGATTCTTTTTCAATTATCTTTATATACAGAAGATCAACTTAGTATATACTAGGTAAAGATTTCAGCAGTTTGCACCACACAGATACTCAAAGTATAAAGTACTGTTTGAGTACTAGTTATACCGTTAGTTCACATAGTACAACACATTAAGGACAGAGGTCCTACATGGGGAGTAAGTGCACAGTGACTCCTGTTGTTGACTTAACAATTGACACTCTTGTTTATGGCGGCACTAATCACCCTGGGCTCTTGTCATGAGCTGCCAAGGATATGGAAGCATCTTGAGTTGACAAACTCCAACCTTATTTAGACAATGCCATAATCAAAGTAGAAGTTCTCTCTTCTCTTATTTTTAGTCAACAAAAATCTCTCCAGAAATCTCCAGAGTGGCTGGTCCTTTCAGATCTCTCATAACCACACTCACAAGTGATTCTTTTTTTGACTTCCGTGTCTATGTCCATTAGTCATTTTTTCCATCTTTGCTCCTGTGTTTAGCATAAAAGTTATTACTCACAAAAGCCCTTGGCTATAAACAAATACAGGTAGGACATTAAGCTGTGTAAACTTGCTGGGGAAGAATCTAAAACTTTCAAGTAATTTATCTCAAATATGTTTAGATGATTTTCATTGTCCTTGTTGGAAAACGTTGGAGCTGTAGATGGAGAGTTATATCCAGATGCATTCATTTCAGAAGTAACAGAATGTTGTTTTTAAATGATGTTTACTTCAAGATTTATGCCTGGAAAACTAAACTGATTTTAAGTTCAGCATTGCAATTATTTGGGAACTTAGTATTACATTGATATGGCAAGAAAGAGACAGGGAGGACAACACATTCCTCTATGAAATGGTGTATCTGTAGGTTAAAGGCTGTCATTTTCAGTACATCTAATGAAAAAAGGTCATACTATGTTTAAATTCATACTCATAGGAAAGATTAATGAGAGCACTACCATCACTGTGAGAAGGAATTTGCATAATTTGTAGGACCTAGTTAAAACTTAAAATGTAAAACAATTTGTTTATATATTGTTAAGCATTTAAATGTGGAAGCATTAGTAACCTAGAATGAGTTTGCATGAGAAACTACCAGGGCCCATTCACAAGCACATAGTTCTCAAACATAATGTTCATATACCCAGCCTTTCCCTGGAACCAAGGGCAACAGGGTTCACCAGACTAGGACTGGAAATGGGAGGTTTCCTATGGACAGGTTATTGAGGAGGGTAGATAAGGTCCATTCCAATGAAGCAATAAGATATCTAACTTTACCTGAAGCCTGGCTCCAAGACTTGACACATGCCCCATCATTCTTTCAGACTGCACTAAGAAATCAGAAAATCACTTTGAATTTAGTAATAATCTGTTTTAATTTTAATTTAATTTTTTTAAAAGTTCATTTATTTTTAACCTTTTTAAGGTATGCAGATTTCATGTATTTCATATATGCTGATTTAGGAACATAGTGATTCTTCCCACCCTACCCTTATTCCTGCCAAAGCTCATGTCCTTACTCCTCCTTCATCTCTTATTCCCTTTATTAATTTTTACAGTGATGTACTTTCCGTTTACTATATACTCATAATAGTAACCTGACACTAAGTAAAGGGTTGAAAAAACAGGAAAAAGAAGAAGAAGGAGGAGGATGAGAACAGTATTACTTAATGGTGGAGATGAGTGCAGTAAAGAATCATTGGCTCTCAAAATGTCAATTTCATTATAATGTTTTACATTTTATAGTGATCTTTTAACTTCCACAGATTGAGGAAAATGCATTGTATCTGTCTTTTTGGGACTGGCTTATTTCATTAAGTATAATGATTTCCAGTTGCATCCTTTTTGTTGTGAAAGCCAGGATTTTGCTTTTTTTATGGCTGAGTAATATTCCACAGAGTATATGTACTACATTTTATTAATGGAGGCATCACTTGACAAGTTTCTGGGTTGATTCCATATCTTAGCTATTGTGAACTGAGCTGCAATGAACATGGGAATACTGATAACACTTTCATATGCTGATTTCATTTCCTTAGGGTGAATTCCTAGGAGTAGGATGGATGGGTCATATGGTCATCTATTTTTAGCTTTCTAAGAAATCTCTATACTTTCTTCCACAATGACTACACCATTTTACATTCCCATCAATAGGGATCTTTTCTCCATATCCTCTCCAGCATTTTTTTCCTTTTTGATTTCTGAATGAGAGTCATTCTACCTGGAATGAGATTAAATTTCATTGTGGTTTTGATTTGCATTATGTTCAGTGATCCTAAGCATTTTTTTTTAAAAGTGTCTATAGGCATTTGAGCTTTCTCTCTTGAAAAATGCCTGTTCAAATCTTTTGCTCATTTATTAACTGGGTTGTTTGTTTTGTTCAGTTTGTGTGTCTTGAACTCTTCATAGATTCTGGATATCAATCCTTTATGTAGTTTGCTAATATTTTCTCCAATGTTCTCCTCTAGTAATTTGATGGTATCAGGTCATAGATTTAGATCCTTGATTCATTTTCTATTGGGTTTTTAGAAGATGCACGTTGGGAGTGTTGTTTCATACTTCTGCATGTGGAGATCCAGTTTTCCCAGCTCCCATTTATTGACATGACTGTTCTTTCTCCAGAGACTGATTTAAGCTCCTTAATTAAAGATTACTTGATTGAGGATTCATGGATTGATTTCTTGGGATTCTATCTTGTTACATTGGTGTACATGTCTATTTCTATGTCAATACCAGGCTATTTTGATTATGAATGACTGTAGTATGTCTTGAAAGCTAGTATTTTGATGTCTCTGACTTTGGTTTTGTTGTTTAAGATCACTTTAGTGATTCAGTGGTCATGTGTTTTGATATTAATTTTGGCATTGTTTTTTCTAGATCTGAAAAGAATGCCATTGGTACTTTGATCAGATCACACTGAATCTGTAAATTGCTTTTGGTAGTTTTAACATTTTGATGATATTTATTCTTCCAATCCATGAACATAGATTTTCCATTTTTTGGTGTATTGCTGTATTTCTTTAATATTTTATAATTTTCAGTGTAGAGAGCTTTCATCTCCTTGGTTTAAATTTACTCCAGGCTGGTGCTGTGGCTCACTAGGCTAATCTTCCGTGCCGGCACCCCAGGTTCTAGTCCAGATCAGGGCACCGGATTCTTTCCCAGTTGTTCCTCTTCCGTCTAGCTCTCTGCTGTGGCCCTGGAGTGCAGTGGAGGATGGCCCAAGTGCTTGGGCCCTGTACCCACATGGGAGACCAGGAGGAAGCAGCTAGTTCCTGGCTTCGGATTGGTGCTGAGTGCCGGCCGTAGCGGCCATTTAGGGGGTGAACCAATGGAAGGAAGACCTTTCTCTGTCTCTCTCTCTCTCACTGTCTGTCAAAATTAAATTAAAAAAATACTCCAACTTATTTCTGTTTTTGTAACTATTGTAACTGATGTGATTTTCCAAGTTATTTATTAATCTGATACTTTGGTATATGAAGGGACTTTTAAAAGTCCACAGAAATCACATCATCACTTAATGCAAGATCTAATCTTCCTGTTTCTTTCACTCTCCACCTTTCTGTTCTCTACTTGAGTCTGAATTTCTTATATTCCACATTTAAATGAAATTATGTGATATTTGTATTTCTGTGTCTTACTTGACATGTTCTCATGTCAGCCATATTCATAATTTTGGACCTGTGTTGTGACAAAATGGCAGGGTTTCCTTCCTTTTTAAGATGAATTAGGTTACCTTGTATGTATCACATTTTATTCATCTGTGCACAGATACAAGGGCCATTTCCTTATCTTGCTAATGTAATAATGCTGAGATGAACATGATGAACATGGGGTTGTAATATGTCTTTGAGATAGTGATTTTATTTCCTTTGGATACATACCCAGTCCTTCCATTTTCTTTTTTTAAAAGATTTATTTATTTATTTGAAAGTCAGAGTTACACAGAGAGAAGATACACACACACACACGCACACACACACACACAGAGAGAGAGAGAGAAGGAGAGATGTCCTCCATCTACTGCTTCACTCCCCAAATGGCCGCAGTGGCCCGAGCTGTGCCAATCTAAGCCAGCAGCCAGGAGCTTATTCTGGGTCTCCCATGTGGGTGCAGATGTGGGTGGGCCATCTTCTACTGCC